TCAGAAGGGACAACCATTCCTCACATCGGCATGTATAATTACTCAAAGGATCATCGACACGACATGATGATGAAAACAAACCTCACGGCAGGAAACCATCGATTTCTGTTTACACGTATTTGCCTTTCTATGCGCACGTTCCGATGACACCATGACGTGCGTTATGCGGACTCTATGTGAGTTGCAGGCGTCGGGACAGAAATGGCCACGCCACCTCCGAATCCAGGCGGACAATTGCTGAAGGGAAAACAAAAACCAATACCTTATGTGCTTGGCCTCACTTCTCGTGAAATTCGGGATTTTCGAAGATGTCGAAGTGGGGTTCATGCTCGTTGGCCACTCGCATACCGACATAGACGCGACTTTTAGTGTTTTCTCTAAAAAGTTGAAGGACAACGACGCTTACACCATGAAGCAGTTGTTCTCGCTGATCGAGTCGTCACACAAGATACCGTCAAAGTGCACTAAGCTCGATCACATTGCCGATTGGCGCAGGGTAGTGGATCGATACATCGACAAAAGCATCATCGATGTGTCGAAACCACATCTCTTCAAATTCTTCGTGCGGGACAGTAGTCTCGTCATGGTGTACAAGAAGTACTGCACCGATGCGGAATGGAAGCTGGAAGGCAGACCAGTTCACTGGTTCCCAGTTCTGGATGGAGAGTATGCAGGCCCTACCTCCCCTCCACAACCATATGTTATTCCCAGTGTCGTTAAAGAGGTTTTCGGATGGCTCGTGACAGTGTCCAAAAATTCCTGGACGTTCTCGAACAACACAGACATATGTGGCAGACATATAGGAAGGAGGAGGTCGAAAAGCGGGAGGATGCTTTGTCTTACTGGAAAACCATCTTCGTCGAGGCGGACGATATGATGCAAGAGGAAAAGAAGAAGGAGACGGAAGAGGGTGAGGAAGAGGATGTTCTCGAGGCGGACGAGCCCGAGATCTACCATCACACCTTCTGGCCACAATCAGTCGAAACTATGGTCGAAGTTCAAGAAATTGACCCTCCTTCGCCAGAGGCTTCGCGTATATATATAGGACCGAGGGCGGGCCGTCCAAAAGTGGACTTTGACCCCCGGCGCCATATACACAAAGGTGATTTTATGATTGTCAGGCCACCCGATGAGGAAGTGTCTCAAGGTGTCCCATTCTGGGTAGGTAGGGCACAGTCTGAGGTTGTCGACGACCGTTTCTCTCCAAATTTTGGTTGTTTATGTATACAGTGGTGGGTGCCTACAGGTCACTCGTTCGATCTTCACAAAAGATACTCCGACGCTTGGACGAAGAGGTGAAAACTTTCCACTTCAGACGAGGAACAATGGGAACGCGCCGAAACTGTGGCTTATTCCTAGAGAAGACCCTTCCGCAAAGGAACAGATGAAAGCAAATTCATGACAGGCCTTACAATACCGACATCCGTCTGTGAGAAAGCACTTGTTGCCCTTGGGGACGGCTGTTTTTCCGGCCCGTCCGACGTACCCATTTAGTTAAATGCGAACTGATTCGGATTTGTTAGCTACGAACTACGCAAAGATAATGACGAGACGTTAACTGCGAACTAATTCTGATTTCTTATCCTGCAGGATGGATGAGGACGACGCACCATCATGCGACGTTGTATACGAGACAACGTCCTACGAAACCTCGTCGTACGCGAGCGAGTATTCCTTTTCGATCGAGAAAGTGGACAAGGATCTTATCATCATGAACAAAAATATTTGGGCACGAGGAACGGTCAGTCTTGACAGCGATTATCTGCATGTCGAAGCTGGGGTCGGCCTCGACGGTTATATTGAACCCGAAACATGTGTTGTTGATGGACAAACTACAATAGTTCCCGATAGAGGGTCAGATATGTGGTACCTCTAGCACAATTGGGAGTACGAACACCCTGCAACAAAGTGCGAACGTATTCTAAGTTATCGGATCCCCGGTAGGCCGTTTCATTCCTCCTTTCAGTAGATGTGTGGGACTTCACTTCATTATGAACGGGCACAAGTGTGAGTATACTCTCATTTGCCATTCCCGCTAGACTCACTGTGTGTCATCGTTTACATGCCACCTCGTTCTTCCTCCCACAATGCAGCATGAACTCCAACTAGACCTCGGCCCGCGCAAGTACTTTCTGCTCGTCTCACGGCGCCGTTTCTCCAAACCGGATTCCCGACCTCCAAGGCCACGTTGTTATTGTCATGTGCAGTGCTCATCCTCATTTCCCTTACTTGATCTGTCCCTTTCCACATAGTGGTCCCTCCATGTGCCGTGTGTTTCACTCACTCTCATCGTCTCTAACGGGACACTCATTGCTTCGACATGTAATGCAGGATGAACTCCAACCAGACTTCAAGTATTTGCACTTCACGTCAGTCGAGCCACTCGAGTAACTATTCCTCTCCATGCGACGTCTCACTGTTTTCCACTCAGGATCTCGGCATTTTGAACAAAAATATATGGGAGAACCATCTCGTGAGCATTGACCCTCGATATTTGCACATTGAAAGCGGTGTTGCGCCGGATGGGAAAATCTTTATTCGTTTAACCTTTGACAATGATGGACAAATTGTGGTCGCCTCGGATAACGGGTCGAGCTTCTGGTACATGTACTCGTTGCAGAAAGAGGTTGAGGTTGAGGTAGATCCTGACTGCGACGACTAGGATGATAAGGAGCTTGGGGACGTTGTTGCTCCAACGGAGATGATTGACGCTTGGAACGCCCTTTGTGCCATCCAACGATGGTCAGCCCAAGACAGGAGTCACATAAAGCTATGTGCATGGTTTTGCCTTGGAAAACCAGAGTTGCGAACCTGAGTTATTGTTGACTACGACGGTCGAATTCGGGTGTTGAATCGCAACACTACCGTTACTACGCTTTTTACGGTCGTCAAGGTCGATGGTCGAAAAACGGAAGCTCATTTTGTTGTAAGGGAGGAGTACAGAGGTGTCACCCTAAGTCGCGTGGAAGCGTTTCACAGCCCGACACTTGTCGGTGCTCTAGGGCGATTAAGAACTCGGCTATCCGTAGATGTGGCTCTCAGGAAGGAGATCAAGTTAAGAATCGATTGTTTGGTACACAGTCAGTTGCACTACCTTGTCGATAATCGTGATGAAATATCTTGGATAGTTGAATACAGGGATCACAACATGGAGGTTGTTTTCCACAAAGATGACTACCACCGGTCAGGTACCAGGAAGTTGGAACTGCTCCCCTGTAACTGTGAAGATGGGCATCCCTGGTAAGCGTTTCCATTGTTCCTTTGAGTGGGTGTGTCCTTGCACAATTGCGAGTGGTAGTATACTCTCCGACAGCGTGATATCGACGCTTGTCGACGGCCAGCGGCATGATGTGTACGACTGTCCGTACTGTCGCAATGGACATCCTGAATATCTGTAAGGAAAATGGTCCTTAATAGGAGAGAAGTTTGACCGTTCCACATAAATCACGTGTTGGAAATGAGTCGAGATTAAACAGCGGTTGCAGGACTTGCGCTCTCTTGCGAAGTGTGAATCTATTCTCACTTATCCAACCACATGAATGACGTGTGGAAAATAAGTCGAAATTCAACCGCGGTTATAAAATTTGCGCTCTCTTGCGAAGTACGAATCTATTCCTAGTTATCGAACCCTTGCGTGCATCCGATAAAGATCGTGTATTTGTTTTTTATGTACTCGGTTCTTTTTTATCCACTTGGGAGAATCGCAACTGACACGCTTCCTTGCGTTTCTCCGCTCATGCAGAATGGATGTCGATACTTCGTCGCAGAGTAGGAACTCCTCAGCGTTAAACATCGATTTGATCATTTTGTCAAAGAATATTTGGGAGGACATTGGGCGTTCTGGTGTAAACCGCGGCTACCTGCACCTCGAAAATGATGTTGCCCCCGACGGGGAAATCCCTTTGTGGCAAAGTGTCGAAGAAAGACCCCTTCGGATTTCCCGTGATACAGGGTCGAACTTTTGGTACCTGTACACTCTGATGAAGGATGTACAGGCATGCCCTATCGGGTTGGAATCACTTCTGAAGAGGGAACCCATCGAAGAGGAACCCGTCCGAACTTCTGAGATGGTGGAAGCATGGCACATTCTATGTGAAAAACTAAAGTGGACGTCGTCGGACAAGTTGTATCAAAAACTTTGTGTCTGGTTTTGCCTCGAAAAACCGACGACGTCGACGTCGGTAATTATAGACTACTTTGGTCGAGTGAGGGTGTGTAATCGTGGCACCGCCGTCATAACGCTCTTCACTGCCGTGAACGTGGGCGATCGAAGAATAAGAGTTCTTTTCCTCGCAAGGAAGGAAGTTCATGGTGTGAAACTCACTTCATTTAAAGCATTTCACACATCCGGGCTTAATGATTTCCTTGCCCTGTTCAAAAATAGGCTAGCCATAGATCCTGCACTCAAGGAAGAGCTAGATTTGAGTGTTGACTGCTTGGTGCACCAGCAACTCCACTACCTCTTTGATCGCTGTGACGAAATAAATTTCACAGTCGAACATAGGGACAACGAATTGCGATTTGTTCACCGTCGTCTGCATTATTCAGCTTCCGGGCCTTAGGATGTGACACTGCGCAACGGGAAGACGAGATATGTGTGCGGCTGCCCTTACTGTGATGTTGGACATCTACATCTTCACTACCGACGTTAAACTCGCACTATGCTTACATCTGATTCATTGAATGCAAACGACGGTTGTTGCCCCAACTGAGAATATTTATGGTTTAGAGTGGTTTGGCAACATTGGGCTTCCCAGATAGCGCTACCTTCCGGTCCCCGAAGAGGATGACAGTCCGTCGTTCTACGGAGAGAAGGTGATGACAGCCCACCGTTCTCGGAAAACCGTTATCCGTTCCAAATCTGTAACTCGAGCAATTTGAATGAAATTTTAAGAGATATACTCGTGTGCGACTTGCCGAATATCGAAGCGAATCTCCAGGCCCGATTTCCCGAACCAAGTCCTTCTGGTCGAGTTCGACATAGACGAGCTCAACGACGACGATCGCGGGAGGCTACTCGAAGACTGCACATGCTGCCACCATGGAGATCGTAGTAACTCTTTTCACGCGACATATGATATGAAAATACTCATCGTCTCAGGATATTCGGATTCCATATGCGAATAGACTCACATTTATCACCTTATGCCTTCGGCAATGGGTCCGACCCTCTCACGCTGGGGACATCGTATCGGGCTTGGATGGGCTTCTGTGTGGGACTTGTGTAGGCAGTTGAATATCATGTCGGGCTTGGATGAGCTTTTGTGTAATGTAAAACTTCGGCAAGAATAACCGTTTGTGTAGGTCTTCGGCTTGAAGCAGCGTTTGTGTACGACTTCGGTTGAACTTGTGTTCGACATGTTCGTATTTGAGGCAGGGCTTGTTCGTAGTGTAATGTCGGATTTTTCGGCTTATGTTGGACTTTGGTTGAGGTTGTGTTCGACATATTCGTTTTTGAGGTAGGGGTTGTGTTTTCGTGGCTTTGGCGACGAGGGCGTGTCATATAGACTGTAGGGAAGCGTCTTGTGTAGATGAGGGCGTGTCATGTAGACTGTACGGCGTCGGTGTACTGCTTGATTTTTCCAGAAGATATCCACATTCACGTTGTAGGGGCCATACCCTGAAGGACTTTGGAGCCTCAGTCGACCCTACTGCGGGTCCCATTTGGCTCGACCCGCCCACGCTCATGCTCAGGGTGCGGGTCGTTCGTCTCAGGGGCACCGCCACCTAGTGCTTTGAGATGGATGGGGATGGGCCGTTTGCGAGAGGGCTTTACATTGGGGGATGTAGCTCTGCTCTCGCATCAAGATGGTAGCTTTTTGACACTCGTGACATTTTTTTTTATTCATTAAGGTCTGACCAGGCAATTGCTCCTTCCAATACGCAGGCAGTCCAGGGAGTTCATTGAGGTCTCATCTTCTTATCGTGCGCAGGCCAAGCATCGTCCATTAGGCCACACACCTTTTCACTAAGCCTAGCGGCCCTCGGCAGCCCCAGCGGCATCCTTGGGGTAAGGCCGCGTCGCCCGAACCCCTAGCCGCCATATTTCTTTTTTTTGCGAGAACCGCTAGCATCACATCTTCGTACCAAAGACCGCCCTTAGTCCTTTCAGGCGTCGCATCGCACACGAGAGAGACATTCCATGCAATCCCACGCAAGCC